TGTGTGTGTGTGTGTGTGTGTGTGTGTGTGTGTGTGTGTGTGTGTGTGTGTGTGTGTGTGTGTGTGTGTGTGTGTGTGTGTGTGTGCGTGTGTAAGTGCGCATATGTGTGTGTGTGTTTGTGTGTGCGTGTGTGTGTTTGTGGGGGGGGTGTCTGTGTCTTTTTTTTTCTGGTATTGATGTTTTTGTTTTTAAAATAAATCCCTGCTGCCCTGCAGCACCCCTCCTCACCTTTACGCGCCCCCCGTCAGCGACTTTGGCAGCAGCGCAGCATCAAGCGAGAGTGCAGCATCACTTCCGCATTGCCAGCGCTGGCCAGAATGCCTGGCCTGGGCTGCCTCTCCCCTTTTGTGGAAGTGGCAGCCTCCTGGATGCTGCGTGTGGCCTGGTTGGAAGCTTCCAGTAGCTTCCGGTTGGGCCTCAGACCCTGCGCCCAGGCCCGAGACTACAGTTGAGGGCCTGGGCCCTTTTCAGTTGGGCACGGCCTGAGTCTTCGGACTTGGGCTGTTTGCTGCATTTGTGCAGGGCTCCCAGGAAGATGCGTCGGCGGTACTGCTTTTACAAAAAGGCCGATGGCCTGCTTCCCAATGTATCGGCCCTACTTCGTGTGTATGTGCCCAGGCGCAACTGTCAAGACCTGGGCCAACTGTATGACGAAGCTAATGTGAGGCTCACGCGTCTACCCAACCAACTGGCGTGCTGCGAGAGCCTGAATACCCATGTATGGAAATGTCGAATTTTGCCTGACGAATATTCAGGCCCGCCTTCACTTAGGGCGGGCACTTGGCTTGCTGCGGGCCTTAGCCCAGATCATGTGATGTCTGATAGGGCCCCTTGAGGGCTTGTTCCTCACACAACCCTGCATTGAAAAAGAAAAAAACGTCTGCGCATTTTTCCCCGGGAAAAGAATTATTCCCGCGCCCGCTCAAGGCGCTTTGAGCGCGGGATTGAGCGGCGCTCAAACACATGAGTGCCGACTGCGCGCACAATCAGCGCGCCGTTTCACAGCGAAATGGAAATGGGAGAACATTATTCCAGAATTGTTTCAATGTTTGAATTTTTATCATGAGGCAGCGGAAATCTTTTTTTGCAGAGGAAAAAAAAAGGAAGGACCAAGAAAATGATTGGAGAAAAAAGTAAGGGCAACAGCAAAGGTCTGATGAAAAAAAATGAAACTAAAAAAAAAAAAAAAAAAATCAACAACAACAACAACAACAACAACAATAGAAATTTGAAAATGCAGCCTTTTTTCTGTATCTGCCTGCATACCACTTCCCATCTCTTTCCAATGTGGCGGCAAGTTATGATAATTTCTAACCTTAAAAAAAAATACCGAAAAACAAAAATGAACAGTAAAACTGAATGGAGCAACTTTTCAAGGAAATATGAGATATGCCCTCAATTGGAGCTGTGTCTGATGTGGCTGTTTTTTTTTGTTTTTTTTTTTCCCAGGGACCGGAAAATGGCGGCGATGGGTAGAAGTGCGAGATCAGATTCATCCTGACCATCCAATGCGATACTCAGAAGATCAGATTGATTATCATTACACGTCAAACAGAGACTTGCTCAAGCAGTTGACGACAACTGCGCACAGTAACAAAAGTTTTTTAAACTTTTTTTGAAGAAAAGAGGTAGGAACACACTATTTGAATTTTGAATACAAGACAGTGATGGGTCTGTGATTATTATTTTTATGTTTATGTTTACATTCTCGGAGTCTCTTTAGGTTTTTCTTTTTGCGTTAATTTTTGTTGCCTATGCTCAGTATTCTCTCTGCTCCTGTTTGGAGAGTTCCGTCTCCTCCTCCTCCTCCTCCTCCTCATCCTCACACAACCAGCACCAGTCCAATTGCTCCTGTCACTGTTATTTTTATTGTTGTTGTTATCGTCATCATCTTGGAGCTGTTTTTTTTTTTCTTTTTTCTTTTTTTTTTCTAATTGATGAGTGTGTCATGGACGGCAGCGGGTTTCAAGATACCCGCTCGTCGAGCATACGCACTCTCAGATGGAAGTCTCTGCTCATCCTCCAGGTTTGTCGAGTCATTCGTACTCGTAATTGAAAAAGAAAAAAGAAAAAAAAAGGTCTTCGACTGACAGAGCAGCAGATCAGCGGAGCCGTTTTTTGTACATCTACCCTTCATCGTTCGGGGAGAATTTAAGATTTGTAGAAAATGAGCCATTCTTCTGAGCAGCCTCTTTTTTTTTCCTTTTTTTTTCCCCTTACGGTCGGGGGGACCCTCGGGTTGGCTTGATATGAGTGTTGGCCATTCAATTTACTGGCCTTAGTGAAGTTTCAGATGAAGTTTCAGATGAAGTGTCACTATCAATTTTGCAATAAGTCATCGCATAAGGGGTTGTTGTCATTCTGCGTACAAGTCGTTGGATTAGAACTTGCCAATTTGGGAATAAGTTTTTTCTTAAGGAAGGTTGAAGGTTCCAATTCTGGAATAAGATCTGGTGGGTATTTCTGAAGGAATTTACCCGTTTAGGAAGAGTTGCAGGGTGCAGTTCCCAATTTTTGAGTACGTATTTCTGAAGGAGTTGCCCATTTCGGAAATTTTGGAAAATTTTGGAAGTTGATTGGTCGGACGGATCGCCAATATTTCGAATAAGTAGTTCTGAAGGAGTTGTTGCCCATTTTGGAAGGTGGTGGGCGCAGCTGCCCATTTTTGGAAGGTGGTGCGCTCAGTTGCCGTTTTTGGAAAAAAGTATATTACTGAAGGAGTTCCCTGTTCGGGAATAAGGCTCGCTCAATTGCCAATTTTCGAATAAGGATTTCTGAAGAACCAACTTCCCCGTTTTGGAAGAGTTGGTTGGTTTGTACCACTTGCCACTGGTTTTGGGAAATTGGAACAATGGATTTCTGAAGGAGTTGCTGCCCATTTTGGAAGTTGGTGGGCCCAGTTGCCATTTTTGGAATACACATTTCTGAAGGAGCTGAAGGTGGTGGTGGGGATTTAATTGCCATTTTTGGAATAAGGATTTCTGAAGTGCTTGCCCGTTTTCGAATTGGGCGGAACCAATTTCCAATTTTTGGAGTTGGTATTTTTATGAAGCAGTTGCCCGATTTGGAAGGTGGTTTGAGCTGTCGGTTCTTGGTAGGAACGGGGAGAGTTACCAATTGTGGAAAGAGTTGTCAGAGTTACCAATTGTTGAAAGAGTTTTCAGAGTTACCAATTGTGGAAAGAGTTGTCAGAGTTGTTGCAAAAATTTTGGAATAACCAACTGGCCTAGCTCAGTTGGTACACCCCCCGTGGACTGAATTGTTGAAATACAGATCAGGTGCTGAGTTCGAACGCCACAAGAAGCAGATGAGTAAAGTGCTACAACTCTGAGTTAGGGCCTCGCCACACACCACTCTCGAAATGTGAAAAAGACAAGAATGTGGCGGGTGCATCTGGCCATGATCTAGTGGAAAGTTCATTCCCATTTTGCACATTTCGAGAGTGGTGTGGCGATGCCCTTACATAGGGACGGTCAGTTCAGCAACGATATATCAAGGTTGTCGCCCTTTATAAAGGGAAAAATTTCAAAAAACAGATTTTTTTTCTTTTTCTTTTTGGAGAAATTTGTCAGATCTGTCCTGATATGGAAATATAGAAGTTCTGAGAGAGGGGTTGCGAACTTGCTCTTGCCAAATGTGGAATATGCTTTCCCTGTGAGAGGCCGGCATTGCCAAATTTGGAATTAGTTTTCTCTCTCAGGGGTTTTGCATTGCCAAATTTGGAATTAGTTTTCTCTCTGAGGGGTTTTGCATTTCCAAATTTGGAATAGAGTGGTGTCTACGAAGGGTTGGCATTGCCCAATTTGGAATGAGTTTGTCGGAGAGGAGATGTGAGAAAGAGGATGTCATGAGGGAGGTTTTGTCCGAGAGAGCCACATTCTCAGAAGGTGGGAAAAAAATAGAAAAAGAAGAGAGGTGTTCAAGAATCAAGAGGTGTTTGCAAGAAAGAGAGAGAATTCGTGAGCGCGAATACATTATTTTGGCAGTGAGTACTCAAGAGGAGGTTTTAAATTTTAATACTTTGTATCAGCGAGACTCGCCGCGAGAGAAGAGATTGTGAGAAGAGAGAAGTACCCTACCCTGCCAAGTTCACCTATCTTGGAATAAGTTGTCAGGAAATAATCCTTGTCGGAGGGCACGCAATTTTTGCTAAATTCGGAATAAGTTGAATAGAGGATGAAAGAGAGCCCTCGTAAGTGGGAATAAATTGTCAAAGAGGATTTTTTATATTTTTTTACAACTTTTTTTAGCGGTGGGAGAATAAATTGTAAGAAGAGAGGAGTTTTTTTTCTGAGGATTTCCCGATCGTGGAACAAGTTGTCAGAGAATCCTTGTCAGAGAGTAGAAATTGCCAAATTTGGAATAAGTTGTAAGCGAGCAATGTCTCGCTTGCCTTTGCCATTTTCTCACTGTCCGCCTTTTTTTGGAGAGTTTGTTTGTATGTAGTGTCGTATTATTCATAGTGCACCCGAGCAAGAGTCGTGGCCTTCGGCCTACACAGAGGGGCGTATGAAACAAATTCAATTTGTAGTAGAAGAGACGGGCAAGAGCCGTGGCCTTCGGCCTACACAGAGGGGCGTATGAAACAAACTCAATTTGTAGTAGAAGAGAGCCGCACGTCTCCAATGCGCTTTTCAGGGTTGAGGGGGTTAACTGGGGCTGAAATGAGGGGGGGCTGTTAACCACTTATGGCTATTGACAGTTCTAGAATGGGTTCCCGGGCGGTGGCCCGCTGATTTAGAGTATCAAATGAGGTGCCCAAATTAAAGAGAAGGGGGCTTCTGCTTTCTCTTTTCATGAAGGCGTGAATCAACTCTGCTCGCTGATTTTTTTTTACTTTAATTTTAATTTTTCTCCTTAAACGAGTTCAAGCAAGGGTTGCCCAACAGTTTTGAAATCTGCGCTGGACTGACTAGGACCCGTAATTTTATGGTTTTTTTTTTTCTTGTTGTAGGATAGTTGTTTGAACTTGTTTCTATAAAGTGGTCGAGTTCATTAAGGTATATATTTGATAGGATAGTTGTTTGAACTTGTTTCTATAAAGTGGTCGAGTTCATTAAGGTATATATTTGATAGTAGGGGACTAAGGCCGAAGGGCCGCCGCCTGGCAGTGCCTATGATCGCCTCTTCAATCTCTCCGTGTGGCATATGAAAAAAAAAAAAAAAAAAAAAAAAAAGTAACTCCTAAAATGAGTCGAATTACAATCCATGAAGTAATTAAAACCTGTGCATGTACTTCAAAGTTCCCTTCCAATAAATACAAATGTTGTCCTACTTCTACAGCAGCGATCTGATACTCTAATAGATTATACATCGTTGTTGCATGAGGGAGAAGTGCGGCATGGAGGAGGGATCTTAAAAAGGGAGAATGAATGTGGTCATCTTTGTGATGGGCAGACAGTGCTGCTCAGACAGACAGATTGCAGAATGTTGTTAGCACAGAGGAAAATTGTGATGGGAGGAGGAGGAAGGATTTCGAAACTGGAGAGAACTTTTGTGTTTGAAATGTTATAGGGAGTAATCACACTAGGACTGTTTTCCTTATGCACAGAATTGTGGTGAGGTATGCGCAAGCAGAGCCGTAAAGGCAGTCGGAATGTGTCGGATACATTTAAGTTAGAGCCAGTGTGAGTACTCCCTTCAAAGGCTTCAATAATGTTTTTGATGCACCAACAAATATTGGAAAACGTTTTTTGGAACAAGTGAGAGGGGAGAAATTTGTAAAAGAGGACAATTTAAATTTATCTGCATACAGTGTTTTAAACTTTTAAAGCACCAACAAACTTTTGAATGTCCTCTCTCTCTCTCTCTCTCTCTCTCTCTCTCTCTCTCTCTCTCTCTCTCTCTCGTGTGTGTGTAATTGTTTTGATCCGTGGTTAATTGTGAAGGCAACAATGGATTGACAAGAGCTAAACAGAAGCACCACACCTAGCACGTCTGTGCACGCGCACAGCGGACTTTTGTCGTTGCAAGTAGGCTACGTGCAATGTACACTATGCAACCAGGGCCATTGTTGGAATTGTCCATGGATTTTCTTATCTAGTGTGGGTGATGGACCTCTTTGAATCCTCCTCATGCCAAACCCAAAGGGCGGTGGATGGGCATTCGGTGGGTGTACCTTGTGTGGTGTTCCCCTGGACACACAATCTTGATTTCTGGCTGCAGGTTATGATGCTCGTTAATGGGCAGGGACCTAGGACCCCTCCACCGTCCCCCCCCCCCCCCCCCACACACACACACACAAAAAAAAAAAAAACACATTCACTCCCGAGTGCAAAGCGGTGGGGTTCTCTCTTCTGTTCTGCTTCCTGCTTTCTTGTTGATTAGTCGATAAGTCGACTAGTCAGTAAACAGTGTCACACAACTGTGGTTGTGAGCAGCAGACAATGATATAGCACAAGTGAGGGGAGTGGCTGGCATAAAACCACCTGCAAGGCTACAACTGAGGATTAAGCCAGATTACATCTGCCATTTCCCCTGTGTACCTATAGCACAAGTAAATCGGAGAAACTAATATGACACAGGAGTGTGTGTGTGTGTGTGTGTGTGTGTGTGTGTGTGTGTGTGTGTGTGTTGT